TAATCCTAGCAGGGGATGCTGCTCCATTGTTTGTCCGTCGCGATCACCACGCCGCCGCCGCGGCCATTCGTCTTTCCCGCGATACTATCCCCGCCCCTCCCCTCCCCCGCTGCCTGCCCGCTCCGCTCCGACCGATTTCAGGAGTATTCCGCGGGGCTCCCTATCGGCCATCGCGGCCGCGAAAATTTCGCGTTGGTGATTTATTGCGCCTGTCGCGGGAGGTGCGTGCCGCCGCTGCCGGACACCTCACCCCCCGCGGCCTTGCTGCTGCGCGAGCCGCGGGCGACGGCGCGGGGACCGCGGGGACCCCGTCGGACCAGCGGCTGCGGGCGGCTGACAATCAATCAGCGCCCCGCGCACCCCAGAGCAGGACGAGCGTGGAGAGCAGGGTGAGCGGGGAGAGCAGGGCGAGCGTGGTGAGCAGGGTGAGCGTGGAGAGCAGGGTGAGCGGGGAGAGCAGGGTGTACCTCACCCCGGCACGTGCCCTGCCCGTTTTACTTCTGGGAAGCGGCTGTCGCGCAGCACCCGGGGTCGGCTGCACCGTGCCAAACACTGGGCCATCAATCACATCACTGACTACCCTCTGAGACAGTTTTGGTCCGGCTTGACCCCACTGCCGAAACCATATCATCGCGTCTTATTACTCCACTGTTAAAAAAAGTCTGAAAATTCAGACAAATTGGTAGGAAGCAAAATTACATACTAAACGTCTGAAAATTCAGACTGTTTTGTCTGAATTTGTTGGTATGAATTTTTAGTATGAAATTTCAGTTATCTTTGTCTGAATAGCAATTTCATAACTTTAGTCTGAATTTCAGATCTTCACTTCAAATGAAGTTTTTTTGACGCTCTTTGCCCTCTCCTTTAAGTTGAATTGTATTTTAAGTAATTCGATAGGAATTTGTTATTGTACCTTACCTACCTACCTAGAGTCGAGTCATGTGTCTTTCTTCCCGAGTAGAATACACACTTTCTCGCACTCCTACTTGTAAAGTATGCCGCGTATCGGATAACGAACGACGAAAATTCTTCGAAGGCGCCGCCACCAATGTCAAGTGATAAAAAAGTGTGTAATGAAAGATGATTTGTTTTGTTTTCAGGAGATACGAGCCAACCCCCTGAATTCGCCATGCCCATTCAGTGTGAGATTTGCTACATGAAACTGCCATCTTCGAAGGAACTCAAGAATCACACGCAAATTCACACACTAAAGAGGTTTTTAGAATGTAACGTATGCAGCAGAGTCTGTACAAGTCGTTCGAAACTGCTTAATCATGTCCTTACCCATACGGATGAGAGGCCCTTTAAATGCACGCTATGTAACAAAGACTTTACACAGGCTGGCAACTTACGTACCCATCTCCGAACGCATACTGGAGAGAAGCCTTTTGAGTGTACTGTGTGCAACAAGAAATTTTCGGAGAG